AATCGGATTGGAATAACCCTCCGTCGTTAAATAGAAGGTAAAAAGGGATTCTGTTATCGTCATCGATCTTCTTACTAACTCTTGTAACTACTTGTGAGCACAAGATCGACAGAATGCTCTGAATAAAGAGACACACTCAAGCAAGGCTCAGCCTTTAAATTATTTCTACCAACTTGAGCCTGTTGCTCAGAAGGACCTTTTAAGAAATTCACTTTGATTTAAAAATAATACAGAGGACAGAGCACTTGGGACGGGAGTTTGAGTCCTGTTTGCAATCGCACCTACAGATCCGCTGACCCTGGACAAGTCACCTCACTTCTCAGGCACAACCTCCTCCTCTGTCAACCGAGGTGCAGGACAGAACCCGACAGACTGATCCTGCTCTGCAGTCTGTGATCCCACAAGGAGAGAACCGAGGCGGGATCAGCATCACTGAGATCAGAGAACAAAGGTGCTCATGGAGGTTGATAGAGACACGCTTGGAATAAAAACAGAGGCTAAGAGGAGCAGAAAGGGGCGTTGGACATGGAGGGAGGAGTGGACACGGCGCGTCCGCAGCCGAGGCCGTGGCCCTCCAGCCCCAGGAAACCTTGACCTCGCGAGGCCCCGCGCAGCGCCCACCCCGCGCAGCCACGCTGCCCCCGGGAGGCCTCCACCTCCCTGTCGCACACGCTCGCGCCCTCCGCCCGGGCCCGGCCCCCAGCCCCGCTCACTGCAGCGGGGAGACCCACGGCCGCCTCGAGGCCCGCACGCCCGCCACCTACCCCGCCGGGACTCGCTCATCCGCCCCAGCCGCCGAGGCCCCGGGCCGGGGGCTGCTCCTCCGGCGCCTTCTCTCCCAGGTCCCCTCCTCTCCGCCTCCCAAGGCCGCTGCCCCCCCAGGAGCCGGCTCCGGGCCTACGGGACACACTGACTTCGGGCCACCGTCCCTCCCGGGCCCAGATCGGCCTCCCGGGGACGCCCCGGCCCACGAGCCTCGCCCGGGCCGCCGCGGGTGCACACGGACCGGGCCCGGGACCCGCCGACCCCACGGCCCAGCCCGCGGGCTCCCGGGCGCGCTCGGGGGTCCCCCTAGAGTCTCTGCCGGCCCGCAGCACCCGCGCCCGCTGGGGGCCGGCCCGGCCGCACGGCGTCCGACCCCGGAGGCCCGGAATGCTCGCCGCCCGACGCCGGAGCCTGGGAAGGAGGGCGAGCCGTGACCTGGGCACCGACAGGAAGCCCGGGCAGCGCGGCGGCAGTGCGCGTGCGCGGACACGCACACAGGGCAGCTGCACATGCGCAGCACGATGCCGGAAGTGCGCCAGCCAGGGCCTGCTCCAGGGAGCCAGACACATACCAGGACTCTCTTTCCCGTGAGTCTACGCGCCGACACGTTTAGGGAACGTCTTAAAACTCTGTACATCATCGAGCCATATTTTGAGAATTGGCCGCTAAGACCTGGGACGCAATTTCCCCTTTATCTTCACTGCTGTTAGGGCTCAAGGAAAGTGTCGCCTCAACTAGGAGGCGGTGCGATTGTGTCCTGGATCCCTGATCTTTTCCCTGCGCTGAGATCTTTTGGGTTAGAAGTGAGACTCCCCCACCACCAGCAGAGGGGAAGGAAAGGGTGGATCATGTCCCCTTAACTGAAATGCCTGGAGAAGTTTCAATGAAAGACTAGGATCCAGTTAATGCCCCGCCGTGACGTGAATTGCTATCACCCGTGGGCGTATAGTTTCTCCAAGGAAGAACAAGAATACAGACATTGTAGCTCTAGTGGATTAGACACCTAATGCATAAAAAGTGTAGGAAAGTCAGAAAGGAAACACAAACCGCAAAATAAAACAAATACCTGGGATCTTCCCTCTCAAAGAGGATGCAGTTTGTGGTAGGGAACAGTGTCGTTGTTCAAAGATGGGATCAGAAGGACCATGATTATCGTTACTGTTTTGGTGAATTAATTTGACCGTGTCCTTGACCAATTGTTTCTTAAAAGCTGGGGTTGGGATTAAAACTAAAATCTCCTGCCAACCCAGATCCTCTCCAGAAATGTAGAAATAAGGAACAGTTTTGTTGTTGAATGACCATTAAGTCAAGACACTGTTATGCATTAGCACGGGGAACACTAGTGAGACTGCAAAGAGAGAAAAGAACCTCATCTTTTTATCCAGCTCAACACAGATAATCCAGTAAGTACATGTTCTCAAGATGGACGGTAACTTGCCTCCTGTAAGGGGACTAGACAGCCCCAGTTGCTGTGCATTCTTTCATAGTTCATCCTCAATGCACCTGGTAGTCAGGGTGGCCGTCCACCTGTACCCAAAGGAAAAAGAAAACTTCTATCTGTATGACAAGCAGGGAGTTATAGCTCAGAGCGAGATGCCTAACATCTAGCCCAAAGGCCCATGGTGACAAAGATAGGGACAGTATCTTCCCTGAGGTTTACTTTTTAAAGAGAGAGCTCTTATCAGGCCTTTAAAAAACATCCCTGGGTTGTAATGCTGGGGAGAGTCTTACTTAGCTTTTCAAAGATTTAGATACATATGCAACTGACAGAGGAAGTATTTATAGTACAAGTTTTATAGAAAATGCTCTTAAAAAAATAAGGGACTAAGTACTGATTCCCCCAAATGAATGGGCCCGTCACCCATTCCTGATTTCCCCAGCTGAACTGCAGCATTAGACGAATCCCGAATCCCGCACAAACGTGGCAGCCTCCCAAGTTGCTCTTGGAAGGGGCTGCGTGGCCAGGAAGGGTCTTTCCCAGCTTTGCTGCTGTTAAGCATGGCCTGTGCCTGAGTTCTCGCAGAGGCAATGCTGCAATGGGAGCAAGAGGGCCTGAACCAGGAAAACATCCAGGGATCATTTCTCCACGTCCTTTTCCATTTTCACCAGGTGAAGGATGGCGGCTTCTCTGAGCAGCTTGGAAGGGCCACGGTGAAGTTGAGGAGAGGGCCCGTCAGCCTGGGTCACCGGCCTCCACTGCTCACTTGTACTACTGAATACCGTCATGTCTAAAAAACAAGTACTCGAACCCAGTTTCCCACCTCAACAAAGAAAATGAGACAGTGCTCCCGAAGTGTCTTATGAATGACAAATCTTTATTTCAAAACAAGTTTTTCTAACATAAATGGGCACATTGGTGTTTAAACAACTTTTTGTAAGACTTGGCAGATGGGCAATGAATCCCAGAGTCCAACGAACCTTCTTTGGGGATCCACCAAGAATATCTCAGCCATGAGGGAGGGGGGTATAAAAGTTAATGACCAAGATTTGCCCATAATAATTAGCTTCAGACACCAGACCTTCGAGGGCAACAGCCAGCACCTCTCCTCCATGTCCCCGTCACGGAATTCTCTTCTGTGATTTAGCAGTCGCTGTCATTCTCCCAGGGGTTTTTCTAGGTCTTTCAGGTCACAGAAGGGGAGGTACAGTGACCACTGTTCCCTGGAGGACGACAGAACGGGCAGATGGGCAGCCCCTGGCAGGGGTGAGCTTCCTGGAGGAGAGGGCAGTTTCTTCCTGGGCACATGCACTATTGGGTGGGTGCTCAGGACAAACTCTGATCGCAGGTCTCCTTGTCCACGTCAGCACCGAGGCTGCTGGAGGGGTTGTCGTGGGCCGGTTGGCAGGAGGATTGGAGGCTGGTTCATAAGGCCCACTCAGCATGGACTCAGCCTGGCCACAGCCCTGCCACGTGAGGCCCAGATCACAGCTGACCTCCCTCCTGTTTATTTCACTCAGCAGTGACGTTGCTTTCTTTAGGATCCCCATTGCCCTGACCTGGGTGGCACATCCAACCTAGAAATTTCCAGATCCCAGTGTGCGTCCATGAGAAAGTTAAATTAGGCCCCACCTCAGTTCTGTTAGTTAGAATCTATGGGGCTGGGTCCAGGCATCTGTATTTGAATTTCTCCATGTGACCCCACATGGAAAGGACGGTGTGTGCACAGCACTTCTGCTTCACTCTGCTGATATTTCCGCCCTGTCGCTACAGCCACTGTGGTGAAACCGCTCCACAGGAGGAGTTTCCCCCAAACATGTCACACCCAACGTGGGCTCTTTAGTCCACTTTTGAACAAAGTACTAACATGTTTTAAGATGGGCACTGCCTAGAGTGACCTATCTAGACCAGGTGGCTATTTCCTGCACTTTGTACTTCCATGTGCTCCACATGTTCACAGAAACATCATATTCTGTCTTGAATTGGAGGTTCTTCCATGTCATCTTTTTGTGCATGTGGCATTTTATTCATATGATACACAAATGGTAGTGAAATTTCTGGGTCAAGAGTAATACACATAGTTAAAAATTTGATCTGTAGACTAGAGTTTCTCAACTGCAATTGAGGGGCAGACTTTAGGCAATCCACAGACTCCTTGAGATTGGAGACACCATGTGAAGTGTCAGGGTATATGTGTGTGTGTGTGTGTGTGAGCACATGTACGGTTTTCCATGGTCTTAGGTGCTCAAAATGTCCCTTGACTCAAAGATGCCTGAGGGTAGAGGCTGTGTGTCCCCAGCACAGAATCCTGAGCAGAGTGTCAGGAAACACGGAGCAGAAGAGATTGGCCAAATTGAGTGTTTGAGTAACTTCTTAATCCAGAAGTCAATGTACCTGGGATGGTTTTTACATACTTATTTCACTCTTGTAAGGTCTTCCCATTTCCGCTTCCCCTCAGTTTCCTCCTCACTCTCCTCCCTCCCCCACAGACTATGCTCTGAAATAGGATCAGGAGGGAGGGAGAGAGTCCAACGTGTCTCAAGTCTAGAATGGAGAGAACAGGGCATCTGCTGGGGAGGGATGACGAGGCATCCGGACCCCTGGAGGATGGCTGAGGAGGATGGTCAGAGGTGGGGTCAGTGGCAAGAGTTCTCGCTTACCCCTGATCTCCAGGAGAAGTGCACACATTGGTTTGGCAGTTACACGCATTTTCCTTCAAACTGGTTGCCAGGTTGGAATGACTATGATGTCAGAGGCTTCCGACCTTCCTGATTGGAAGGACCAAACTCCGTGGTGCTTGGCAGCGGAGGTGGCCAACAGCATCTTCTCAGAGCTTTTCTCCGCTCCTAGCTTCTCCACAGCTTGGAGAAGGGATAACGGGCTTATATTCAGCCAGAATCCAGAGGAGGATTTGGGGCAGACTAGGGTGTAGCTTTCTTGGCAGGGAAGAAAGAGTTTGGGAGAAATCATGAGCAGTCGTCCACCGAGTCCCCAGCCTAGCACGTCAGGGTACCCCCTGGAGGTGATAGTGAATGAAGAAAGCCCAGGACCATCAGGTGAGGAAGCTGGAATGAGAAGGGGTCTGAGAGGGTCGACCAGTAAGGAGGAGAAGGAACAGAAGTCAGGAAGGAGTAGCTGAGCAGGGTGTGTGTGCGAGGAGAGATGCCGAAAGCTGGGGATTGGAGAAGGAGCACACAGGAGCGGGGGACCAGGATATCCACATGGAAGGAAGAGAACCTGGGAAGCAAGGGAGGAGGGTTAGGAGCTGAGATCCAAGGATGAGAAAAGGGAAGAGAGGAAACAAGTGGAGGCTTCCTTTTGTGTTCTTTTCCAAATGAGAACATTCTCTATAATGCGGAGGAGTTTAGAGCACAGGGCAAGGGAACAAAGACCAGGTGAATGGGAGCAGATGGATGTCATCGAGGAGCAAGATGGAGAGATGGATTGGGAGAAGGCCAATAGTCTACGAGGCTGCAGAGAATGGAGAGGAGGTTTGGTTTTCGGGGTGGCTGGCACTTGGGTGACCAATGGCTGAATTCCAAAGACAAAAGCTTGAAGTGTTGGCCTGGTCTCTTTCCTCAGCCCGCTGGGTAGATCCCAGGCCCCTGCCTGAGTCCTCGGGCCTGAAGAGGAAGAGGGAGTGGTCGGAGTCTCTCCAGGAGGAGACGGAGGAGGAGACAGCCGCCAAGGCTGAGGACAGCTGGGCGGTGGAGTGGCTGTGTGGACTCAGGATGAAGCTGAAGAAACAGCGGGCGTCCACAGTGCTGCCTGAACACCACGAGGTCTTCACCACACTGCTCGGTAGGAAGAGCCCCCGACAGCACCCTCCATCCTATTCTTTTTTTTTTCGGTTAGGAAGCCTGTCACTCAGCTAACATCTGTGCAATCTTCCTCTATTTGGTTTGTGGGTCACCGCCACAGCATGGCTTAATGAGTTGCACATGGGTTCGCGCCCAGGATCCAGCACCATGAAACCTGGGCGGTGAAAGTGGAATGCGCGAACTTAACCAAAACACTGCAGGGCCGGCCCAATCCTATCCTTTTTTTAAAAAGAGAAGAAACTTCCAATGACTACCCATTTCCAGTGGAAAAGAATTCCCTGCCAGGTGCTGTGCTCTCCTTCTTGGAGCACTGAGTAACGATCACTCGCTGGGGACACTTAGGCGTCACAGAGGGTTGGGCAAGACTTGGGAAGAGTGTGCACTTGGGATAAGAGCTTGGTTTTGACTGTCCCTCTGAGACGTCTTCACTCTTGCTGGCCTTTGAATATGTCTAAGGGGGATGGCAAGGCTCCCTCTGCACTCTGATGTGGCTGTCAGTTGAGAAAGTGACTGAGTGACTTTGCGGCCTCTGCAGTGTACACTCATGCATGGTGAGGGAGCATCACTGTTTATGTCAGATCTGAGCCACGCAGACATGCGACGGACACCTACCTCTCACTCAGCCGCCCCAGGCAAGGGGGGCACCATCTTTCTTGAATGGTCTTCTCTCCCCTTTTCCCATCAGCCTCACCCTTGGACACAATGCAAACACTTCTCCCAGGGAGGCCTGGTCCTCCTTACTCTGGAACGCTCCCAAAGCAGCCCTGTTCCGGTTGTCACCCTAACATGTGCCCTCTCTTCTCAGAGGATCCTGTCGTTAAAAGATTCCTGGCCTGGGACCGAGATCTGTTGGTATCTGACAAGGTACAGTGTTTTCCGCTCAGATGGACTCCTGCTCCAGCATCTCTCCTGGGGCGGGGGAGCGCTCTCAGATCCCACAGGTCACTTCCCTCTCCACCCTGACGCCTGTCCCAGGTCCCGTGGGAGCCTCGTGGTCTCTTGCAGATCCTCTGGGACCTGAGCGGGAGGCGAGCCCCTTTGATTGTTGCCACCTTAAGTCCTCTCTCCTCTCAGCTCCTGGGTCTCCCTTTTGCTCCAGCTTATGAAAGGCTCTCCTGTGCGGGCCGTCCTCAAGCAGACGCTTAAACCAGCAGAGCCTGCTGTCCTGGGAGCATCCCAAACTCTGACCCTCTGACGACCCCTGCCCCTCCCCAAACGCGCAGGCTCACTCAACACAGGGGTCTCCTCTCTGAGCAGCAGCAGCACCTGCCCCAGTTCCCGCCCCCTTGTCCCGCTGTTCCTCCCCCTCCAGGGTGGGACATCTTTGGTGATTTTTTCCCCTCCTGTTTCCATCAGTATCTGCTGTCCATGGTCATAGCTTATTTCAGCCGGGCTGGCCTCTTCTCCTGGCAGTACCGGCGGATTCATTTCTTCATCGCTCTGTGAGTATTTCCCCTGCTCCCTTCAGTCAATGTTCTGCCCCCTGGGAGGGTGGAGGAGAGAAGTGGGACCCTGCCCTCTCCTCTGCTTGAACTTATTTGTCCAGTTTCCTCTCTGCATAAAAATGACAGGGTTACTGTATAGTGTTTTTTCATGCTGTTCTTTGCAAAAACAAATAATGCCAAGGTCAGTTAAAAGATCAAACAAAAGAAAACAGCAAACATCCTAAAAGTAGGGAAAGGAAGAGCTGACAGCATCCTGCCCCCAAGCAAACAGGCCATCGAAGGTGCCCTTTCTGATCCTCTCTCTCCTCCCAGATCAACACCAAGTGTCACTGTCCCCCTCCTCTGGATTCCCAGGACCGAGGCCGCAGTTCAGGGCCTCGTGACCTCACACAGATCTATCGGAAAGTGCCGGTGTTTCCTACATTCTCCCCCAGGCCAGTGGGCTTTATCTGCCTGAATATCCTTCCAAACACAGGTCTAGCCCCTCCACACCCTCCTTCGCCGTTCCCTGGGCTCAGTGCCTTATAAATCAAGGCCAGAGTCCTCCGTTTGAATGCAACCGTCTCTAGTGTCTCCATCAAACCCGCTCCCTCCTGATATTTCATCCCTCTGGTCCACTGCTCCCTCCAAACACCCTTCCCTCTGCTTCCGTATGGTGCTTTCTGTCTAGCTGCCCCTCACGCGTATTTATCTGGAGAAAATGCCTGTCCTTAGAGTCGGTTCAAACATCGGAACCTTCCTGATGCCTTCCCGGCCCTCCCTGACTTTTGCCTCCCGGTAGCACTTTAATTATAATGCGGTCTCTTGGATTATAGTTATTTCTTATCTCTCCGCTCCCCTTCTTTAGCCCATTAGACTAGACACCTGTTGACGGCAGGTCCTGTCAAAACCTCAGTGCATTCTCAAAACACTCAGCACAACTCTTCTCATTTTGTAAAAGTTTAAGGTATGTTGTGTCTAGGAGGTGATCAGTATTGCATTTGGCTATGAGATAAAGCATTTACTCACTCATCCATCCATTCAATCATTCATTTAACAAAACCATATCAAGTGTTTCCTGCATGCCAGGGAATACGAGGTGACAGGAAGAGACAGTCAAGATGTGCTGTTGAATTAATGCATCAGTAGGAACCAAGGCCTGTGTCAGTCACTTGGCGGGAAGGATGAAGTCAGAAATAGCGTCACATCCCTTCCTGCCCTCAGGAGCTGCATGTGTGCTCACAGTCTGAGGAGACGGCTGTGGGCACAGACACCCAGTGAAGGGAAGAGGGGTTTTGGGTTTTGTCTTCATCATCAAATTGTGAGAGGCGTCCTTCGGGTCCCTGCCCAGCAGTGGCGTTTTGGAGGCTGGGTGGCACTCTGTGACGCTGGGCAGGGCTCCGCAGGTCCGGTGTGAAGATGATGAGCCTGCGTCCTGTCTGGGAAGCTGACCCCAGGCGGAGGGCCTTCCTGGTCCACTCCTGAGCAGCATCCTGATGTCTCCCCCAGCTACCTGGCCAACGACATGGAAGAGGATAACCAGGCCCCCAAACAGGCCATCTTTTCCTTCCTCTATGGGAAAAACCGCGCTGAGCGCCCCTTGTTCCACAAACTGCGATTACAGTTCGTCCGTTCCATGGACTGGAGGATGAGGGTCACCCGGGAAGAGTGCGAGGAGGTGGGTGGGCTTGGGGGCTGGGGGAGGGGCAGGGCCCAACTGCAGAGAGAGGGGATCCTGGAGGATTGGAGTTGGGACTTGGGAAGAGAAGGAACTGGAGGCTGGACAAGGGAGGGTGGGGGTCCAGCTGCAGAGTCGTCATCTCTTCAGGAGGCTATTTGTCTTTCCAGATCCAGGCTTTTGATCCCGATCTCTGGGTGTGGGGCCGAGATCGGGCCCTCCTGCCCCAGGGCTCCAGGGACCGTGGAGGCCTGAGGGAAGGTAGGTCTGTGTCCTCTCAGGTGTTGACAGGACGGTTTCCTGTCTGTTTAGGAAACCTAAGGAATCCACTTGCTGGGCCCACCGTCAGGGGCCCCCCACCCCATGTCACCCTTCCACACACCGTGCAGTCGAGCAGCCGAGGTCCACCAGACACCGACCCAGCTGCAGCCACGAACTGACAGCCACACACACGCACGGCCTCGGGGGCTGCGTGCGTGGCCACACCTCAGGAACCAGCTTGTCACCGAGGCCTGGATTTGGCTGAAATCACTGCACCCAAAGCAGTTGGGTCTTAATAATAGCTTTAGTGAAACATTGATTTTTATGAAAATGAATGCGTTTCCCATTTTTTCCATATATTGTGTTTTTGAATTTCTTTTTTTAATTCGTTTTTGGCCTGCCATCCTTCGGTGATACCAGCCATAGGAACTTGTTCACAAAAAGTCAATGCTTAACAAGAGGATGTTAGATGGGACAGTCTACGTAGCCAATCATAGACGATAAATGACGACCAGCTATGTTTTCAACCAAATTTACTTTCAAACACACTGCTTGTGGCCAGATCTCCCGTGAGCCCCTCCTTTCGCCCGACTCGCCCCTTCTGCACCAACCTCTCCTCTTGCACCATTGCACTTTTTCCCGCAAGTTTCTGGTCAAGGAATGTGTTGGAAAGAGCAAAGGCTAAGAAAACTAGCTTCAGTGCGGCTGCTGACAATCAACACGTGAGAGTGGGAGATTTGGGCAGAGGGTGAAGCAGAGATTTGGTTTAAACCTGTGAACTAGTGTCTTAGTCCAGTAGGGCTGCTAACAAAGTACCACAGGCCGTGTGGCTGATGACCAGCATTGACTTCTCGCAGTTCTAGAGGCTGGAATTAGGAGCCCAGAGGACCAGCGTGGTGAGGTTCTGGTAGAGACCTTCTTCTGGGTGGCCGACTGTCGACTTTTGCTGTGTCCTCACCTGGTCGAAGGGACCAGCCAGCTTTCTGGGGTCTCCTTTACAGGGGCACTGATCCCATTCATGAGGGCTCCACCCCATGACCGAATCACCTCCCAAAGGCCCCATCTCCCTACACGATCGCCTTAGAGGTTAGGATTTCTACGTGTGAATCTGGGGGACACAAGCATTCAGAGCACAGCAGCAGCCAAGATTAGGGCTAAGTGTCATGGTTAAACATTGGCATCCAGGGTTAGCATTAGGGACCAGGCCTTCATCCTTGGGGATCTGGTCTCATGGTTCCTGAGGCTGACAGGTTAGTGATGTTCGTAGTGTGGTTGGAAGTCCAGATTTTAAGCAGCACAAAGAACAAGTGCAAGGTAAGCCTAAAGCAGCATCTCCTCCACGTGGGCGCCACTCCCTGAGCAGCATCCCCCAGAGTCCTGTGTATAAAGCCGATCACTGGGCCTGCCCTTAGGCGTGTTAAGTAATTCTTGGCGTCAGGCTCACCAAAGTCCAAGAATCACACTTGAAAATGATGGTTCAGGATTGGGGTTTAGAATGGAGATCAGAGACACAGTGGGATTTATCAGTTTGTTTAAACTCTGGTTAGAGTTGACTGAGAATGTGACCCATCTTCGTATGTGGGGAGTTGCCTCTTCACAATCTGACCTCCTCTCTTTCTCTTACTTCCAGGTCACTGAGGCCGGGGAGACGCGGGTTGTGAGCAGGAAGTCATCCCAGACACCAATGACAGACATGAGGAAGGAAGAGAGGAGCCAATTGTGCACATAGTCTAGAAGAACCCAGAACCTGAGAATGAGCCGAACGGTTCTCGTGTCGTACTCCTAGGAGCTGGGGGCACAGCCAGGAGTCCAGACAGGGACAATAAGGAACCAGGGTCTTCTCAGCGTCCACCCCTTCCTAAGGCACTGCCACATCCTCAGACTGTTGAACTCAACCGTCCCCCGAGGTAGAAGCTGCAGGCCTGGTTGTTACCCACGTGGTTTCCACAGTCTAGAACCATCTGAAGGCAGAGTGCAGGGGTTCCAGATAGGAGTGAATTATTTTAAAAATATCAAATTAGAGCCAAGGATTGGGATGGATAACTTCATATATGCCAGAAATTTCATTGGTTTATTTTTAAAATGTTGTCCATAGGATTACTATATTGATTTTTATAATTGATATTTTTATTGTAAATGGTTTTGAAATAGTCATGGTTTTGAAAACATGCAAAGTTTGGTAATGAGCATTATAGCTGCTATATATGTAATTTTGTTTACATTTTTAAGAGACTTTTTGTGTTTTTATCTATTATATTTACATAATATATTTATTATTTTTATTTATAGCCAGGTGGGTAGTTCCCCCAAATTCCTGTAAATATAAATTTATATATTTTAGGCTTCCTTATTGAATTGGGAGAATTCAGTTGTACTTTTTAAACTTGCCTTGATGACATGTCTGTATGTTATTTAGATTATGAAACAGGCGGTGATGTTTCATCTCTCAGGGAAATATAATAAAGAGGAAAGTCTTCTCACCTTCACGATGTGTGTGGTGCAAAGCCTGGTTGCCCGTTCGGTGTCAAACGATAATGTTGCTTAATGGGGTTGTGATGATTCAAGCAAGTTTCTTAACTCTGAAAGATAATCCTGAATTATTTTTCTTTAGAAAAAGCAATAGAAGATGAGGCAGATCTTAAGCTAGAGTCTTTTATTTTTTTAAACATTGGCACCTGAGCTAACATCTGTTGCCAATCTTCTTTTTTTTCCTTTCTCCCCAAAGCCCCTCAGTACGTAGTTGTGTATTCTAGTTGTAGGTCCTTCAGGTTGTGCGCTAAGCTACAGGAAATAAGGAAACACGGTGAAGATATTGAGGGAGAGCAATGGGAAGAGGGGAAAGAAGGAAGAGAGTGCTCTGGGTACCTGGATGGTAATCTGAAATTCAGAGTAAGGAACGGCGACCCAACAAGATGTGCATTCCTGGAAAGGGTCCCTGGCACGCGGACCCAAGGGCACAGGGGCACACACGCAGTGTGCTCTATTTTAATCCTCCTGGGAGTCCTTTCATAACCTCCCATTCCAGGTTTATGTGATAGTAGGGAGATCCAAAGTGGGTGAAGAAATAAGAACAATGAAAAAGAAATGATGGGGTTGGACAAATTTCTGGGAAAAAACAAGAAGACAGGAAGAGCTAAAGCTGTTTAGTAAGATGGGCGTGGAGAAGAAAGAGTAATGACAAGAATGCTGAATTATTGGAGGGAAACATCTTGCTAGGTGGGAGCATCAGAGAACACTGGGACAGCCCTAAAGGCCAAGCTTCCATGTCCTCGGGCTTTGTCACCCCAATAGCACACAGATGTGTGTCACCAAGAGAGCAGCTCACCTGAGCTTTGGTGACCCAAGTTTTTGTTGGGGTTTCCTTATGCAGGCACCAGACTCGCTCACTGGCCATGCAATGAACTCATCTCAGCCCCCTTCCCTCCCCAGAGACTGGCTGGTACCAAGGGCTCAGAGCCCTGATCCTGTGATCACAGGGCTGGGCTTTCTAGGGTGACTGGCCTGCATCCTGCATCACCGTGTTAGCATAAACTCAAGTGCGGTCCAATGGCCCAGCGTGAATACCTGACACTCCTATCACTCAGGAAGTTCCAAGGATTTAAAGGCTTCCTCCTGGGAACCAGGGCAAGGGACCAGCCAAATCCTTCATTATCCGACACACTGACCAGTCTGAGCTCCGTTAGAACTCAGGTGGTCAGGGAAGGTAAACAGGTGCAGGTTCAGGAACACTTCAGGTCAGAGCTACGTCAGGGGAGACAGGAGAAGCCAGAGAATTAAGGATTGAAATAATGGGGTGCTCACAGACAACTGTAATAGCTTGGGAGATGTGAGAAATTTAGGAAACGGGAGCAACTCTATACACAAGAGCCGCTAATGACATGTGAGTATCTGAGTGAAGAAAAGCCAAAGAAAAAACAGGTCTGTGTATCAAGAGTTGGGATGCAGTTCTGGTACATGAGATCAGCTGATGAGCATGGAGCAACTGAAGAGAGTGAAACCACCAAGGCCAGAAGAGCTTGGGGACACGAACATCTGATGGCACCAGCTCTGGGAGATGGGCAGCATTCAGCAGTGGGACATGGCTGATGGGCTAAGGGTAGCAGGGAAACTAGATTCAGCAGACGTGGAAACAACTAGAAAACTAAGAGGAGTAACAGTCTGATGGGAGCAGCCTGGAAATAGATACAGCTTAGGAGACCCTTAGGAACTGACATGCATTTAAGAAGCCCCAGGTCTCCACAGGATAGCAGGTGAGGGCAGACAAGGAAATAGCAGCTAAAGTGAGGGAAGGGCTGAGTAGAAAGTCACACAAAAAACAGGACGAGGGATGCAGACAACAAACAGGTAAGAAAAGGGATGGCCAGGCTGCTGAGGGCAAGGCGAGTATTGGAGGTGTTTGGAAAGACCAGGGCAGAAAGCTGTGGCATCAGCCCAGAAGTGGAGAGAAGCCTGAGGTCAGCATTGGTCCAGTTGAAGAGAAGGGGAAGCCGAGGCCATTGAGAAGGAGGTGAAGCCCCAGAGACTTCGAGGACAAAGAGATGGACCAGTTGAGAAGGAGGGCAAGGCTGGAGGCCACTGAAGGCTGAGAAGGCAAATAAATCAAGAGAGCTGCTTCAGAGATGTGAGCGGATGACAGAGATATGTGTGACTCCCAGAGGAGGAATGTTAGGAACTACTAGGAAAAGAAGAAGATGGAAGAGTGAGAGCAGCGAAGCTCCTGGAACCAAAGAGCATCAAGGGCTGTGCGCAGAGGCTGAGCAGAGCTAAGGAGCCTGCAGCATTGGAGGCTCAGCTGCAGAGCAGAGGAGGAGCATGCCTTCCTGGAGAAACAGGAGTGACGGGAGAACTCGAGGGATGAGAGCTGGAAAGTAAGAGTCACAGGATTGAAGGGCTTGATGCAGTAACAGCTTATGCAGAGCGGGTCAGATGACAAAGCTGAAACAATGGCCCGGTACTGGGCATCCGGAACTTTCTGTGGGAAAAAAGGATTCTACAGGACTTTCGAAGACAAATGGGATGCTGTGGCAGATGGAACTGTCGCAGGGGTGTGGGATCATTTAAGAGTGAGGGACAAGCAAAGGGAAGCAGCTTTATAGAGACAAAACATTGAGACAAATAGAATGAAATGACAGGAGTGACACAGGAGTCCTGCAGACAATGCAAAGGCACCTGTGTCTGCAGCTACTCCCACCTGCCCGCTCCTCCCACGACATGCTGCCACATCCACTCTGAGGCTGTGCTCCTCTTCCTCATCAAGACCTCCCACTCCTGAGACACTGCACTTGCTCAGCGATCCTGACCTGTCACTACCTCCATCTCTTGTGAAGACAGAGGTAGAGATGAGAGTGGCGTAGCTAGAATCGGTGTGTGAGCATATATTACAGTACATTATAGTACTATAATATGTATATTAGAGTATATTACATTACATTGCAGTATAGTATAGCATGGTATATATATTTTTCCAAGATTTATAGCCCTCTGGCAGAATATTTGTATAAATTCTACATAGAGGAAGATTCTTTAGAATCCAGACGATCTGGATTCGCCAAAGATAAACAGATTTAAACCTGTAAAACTTTTGGGTTATGATATGAAAAAGGAAACGTAAACCAAGACAAATGACACACTGGAAAATTTATTTACAATACATTTTGTAAAGGTATAACATTTCTCCTACAAATAAACAAGGACTTTTTTCTTAAAGAAAAAATAAGCAAAGAATATGAACACATAATTGACAGATAATATGTGGTAACTGTCGGATAAATACACATGGAAAAGGTAGGAGCCCGACGGTCTTGGTCAGCTCAGGCCGCCCTAACAAAATCCACAGACTGGGAGCTTCAACAAGACATTTATTTTCTCTCAATCTGGGGGTTGGAAAGTCCAAGATCAAGGTGCTGGCAGGTGAGGATCCTGGCAGGAGTCACCTTCCAGGCTTGGAAATGGCCATCTTCTTCCTGCGTCCTCACATGGCTTTCCTCTGTGCATGCCCACAGGGAGAGAGGAAAAGAGGGGGAGAGAGAGAGAGAGGGCAGGGAGAGAGAGAGAAAGATCGATCTCTGGTGTCACTTCCTCTTCTTATAAGGACACCAACAGTCCTATCAGATTAGGGTCCCGTGATGTGACCTCGTTTAACCTTAATCACCTCCTTCAAGGCCCCGTCTCCAAATACAGTCACACTGGGGGGTGAGGGCTTCAGCAGATGAATTTGGAGAGGGGACACAATTCAGTCCATGACACTTGCTAATGGCCAGGAATATAGAAATCAAACCACAGCAACAGGCTGTCCTTTTCCCATCATGTAAGAAGTTTGACAATACTCAGTGTCACTGCAAGGTGTGGAGAAATGGACACTCTCACACCCGCCGGTGGGCAGTGTGGGGCACGTTCACGTCCTGGTAAAGCGCTGAAGCAGACAGACTCCAAACATGCAGTTTAAGTGAACTGGCCGCTCTCTCCTCCTCCTGGGATCCTGCAGTGAGAGGAGGGAAATGAGTCTGTCCTGAAGCCACCCGGGGACGACAGCTGACGGCTCGGCTGTGCCATGCTGACATGTGGCTCCCACCTCTGGGTCCAGGGCAGCTGCCGCACTGGGCGCTCTGTACTATGGAGGGGGCGGGAGGAGGAAAGAGATTCCAGGGCGATGTCTTTGCCATTAAGAAGACGGCCTAAGGATGCTCAGACTGTCTCCTCTCGGATATCTTCAGCCTGAACCAATCACGTGACCACACCAGCCGTAATCCAAGTTGAGAAAGAAGTTAGGGTTGTATCACTCAAGGGAGGGGGGAAGCGTGAACACAAGACGGCTTACCCGTCATTGCTACCTAAGAACCGCTACATAACTGTTAAATAATCTGGAAAAACCACTTGTTTTGAAAATCAACTTTATTAACATATAGCTTATATCCATATAAAAAAAGCCTTCATTTACTGTGTACATTTTGATTACTTTTGGAAAATTTATGTGATGATGTAACTGCCATGAAACTCAAGACTCTCACCTTTTAGAGACTCCATACCTGTCTTCATCTGCGCCTTTGTTCTCTGATCTCAGTGATGCTGAATCCCCCTGGGTTCTGTCCTTGTGGGAGCACACCCTGCAGGGCGGGATGAGTCTGCCGGATTCTGTCCTGCACCTCCGTTGACGGAGGAGGAGGTTGGGCCTGAGAAGGGAGGTGACTTGTCCAAGGTCACCGGGTCTGTAGGTGGGATTGCTAACAGGACACAACCCCGGGCCAAGCGCTCTGTCCACTATTACAATTTTCTTAATGCTGTGGTAAGTATGTTTTGTCAGGCATTTTAAAAACAAAACTGTGCCGTAATGCACATTTATCTCACTTTTGAGAGCTCATATTCTCTGTTCCTGTGGGTTCTTTGATTTTGACAATTTAGAGAGAGAGTAAGAAAATCATAAGCAGTATAATGGGAATTTTTTTGCACCTTTTATTTAATGGTGGCCAACTATTT